TGTTTTCTTAGTATAATGTTTTTGAATTTCATTCATGCTATAACTTCGTTGTTATTGCTTAATAATATTCCAGTGTATGTATACAGCACAATTTGCTTATCTATATGCATCAGTTTATGAGCATTTGAGTTGCTCATACTTTTTTGCTTATTATGAATAATGGTGCTATAAACATTTAGATGTAAGTTTTTGTGTGGGCATATGTTATTAGTCTTGGATTTATACTTACTATGGAATTGCTGGGCCACATGAATATTCTGCTTTTCCTTTTCACAAACTGTCAGATACTCTTTTATAGTCCCACCAGCAGCTATGAGGATTTCGATTTCTTTATATCCTGAGAAATACATGTTATTAGCTATGTGTTAAATATAGCCATGCTAGGGCCTCCCTGGGGGCACAAGAGGTTAAGTCTCAGCACTATCAAGCTATCCCTGCAACTGCAGCATGAGTTCCAATCCCAGCCTGGGAGCTGACCTACATGGCACAGCAGACCTCTCCTGTCCCACCCACTGCTCCCTTCAGCAGTATACTTTGTCCATCTGCCTGTTCTACTTCCCACTCTGTCTCTGGTGAATCCTCTCACTGCTCCTGCACCTCTGGCCTGTACCCCAGTTCTGTATGCATAAATAAATAAATCTTTTTTTAAAAATCTTTGAAAAATATAAAAATAGCCATGCTAGAGGGTGTGAGGTAGCATTCACTTACAACGTTATTTTATTTCCTTGATGGCAAATGATATTGAGTAACTTTCCATCTGCTTGTTGGCCATGTGTATATCTTCTTTAGAGAAGTGTCCATTGAAATCCTTTGCCCTTTTAAAATCAGGCTACTGGTCTTTTTATTATTGAGTTCTAAGGATTCTTTATACATTCAAGATAGTAGACTAATCTACTATGGTTTATAAACATTTTCTCCCAACATGTGGATTATCTGTTCCCTTTCTTAATAGTGTCATTTGAAGCACTGGTGAGCCTACTTTACCTATTTTTTTTCCTTTACTGCATCTGCTTTTGGTAAGAAATGTCATGACTTAATCATGAAGATTTATGAAGATTTATGAAGATCATGAAGATTTATGCCTATGTTTTCTATGAGTTTTATAATTTTCTCTTACACTGAGGTTTTTTAATTTAAATAATATAATATCTTACACTGAGGTCTTTTAATCTATTGAGTTAATAAAAGAAATACAATTTGTATTTCTTTTGTGTGTAGATCTCTAATTGTCTTACAGATTCTACTTTACTTCCATTGAATTGTCTTGGTACCCTTGTTGAAAAATCAATGGACATAAATACAAGGCTTTATTTATGATAGACAAATATGCTTGTATTATATCATTTAAAAAGATTTACTCATTTGTATGCATACAAGAACTGGGGTATAGGCCAGAAGTGCAGCAGGGGCAGGTTTGTATGTGAGAAGATTCACCAGAAACACAGTAGGAAGCAGAACAGGCAGACTAATTGAACTACACTGCTGAGGGGAGCAGCGGGCAAGACAGGACAGGTCTGCGGCACCATGTGGGTCGACTCCCTGGCTGGGAATGGAACTCATGTTGCAGTGGCCGCAGATAGCGATAGCATTGTGTCTTGAACCCCTGCGCCACCAGGGAGGCCTGCTTGTATTATACCTTTGACTATATTCTCTCTCACTTGTTATCTATCCCAGGAACCTTAATTATACTATGGTATATCATCTCTGTCCTCTCTAATAGCTTTCATCTTTATCTTTTATTCTACATTCATTATCATGGTGTTCTTCATGGCAGTAATTAAATTTTTAACACTGTTTATTGTCCATGGTTTTCCTAGTTCACTCCACAATAATGATGACCTTAATTCATTTCGTTAGATCTGCAACTCTTTTTCAATTCTATTATTTTATTACCTTGGTTTTTGTCTTATTGAATTCATGTTTTTATTAAACTATTCTGTTGCATAAAACATTTGTAAGGAATTTTTTTCTGTTTGATAAGCTCTATTTTCTTCTCAGTTGTATGCGGTCTTTATGTCTTCTACATGGTGTATCATTTCCCCCCTGTTTAGTTTTGTTTTATTTGACTGATGTATGTTTGCTCAGTTGCCATGCTGTTTCGCTGCTTCCTGTCAATGCCTGATAGGATAAGAGAGACTTCTTTGTGTTCTCTATTATAGTAGAAGCCCAGGTGTTTTCCTGATTCTGCTACAGTTGCAGATTGAAGAGTTTGTGTTATGTCCTTTCCATGAGGGATTGTGAAGACTGGGACAGACTTCAGCCATGATATAGTGTGTTTTCCATAAGCAGCACCCCCCTTTTAATTTTTTTAATTTTTTTTTTAGCATTTGCCAGTTCATTAGAGATCCTCTACCAGGGCTATGCATTATTTGTGGTGTGTCTACTCTCTTGTGAGGTAACTTTGGGCTTTGAATAGTTTCATTCACATATGAAATTCTTGAGCTTTTCCTTTCATCTCAGAGAGTCACCTTAGAGTTCCATTTTCTCTCCAAAGTGGTTTCATTCTTCCTCAGACAGAAGAGAAGAAAGTTGAAGGCTGCCATTCAGTTTGCTTCTTTCTACATTTGGATGATTTAGTGAGACATTTAAGGACTCCATTCACTCTGTAACTCTGCTTCTGGAGCTAGGAAGGGTACAGGGCCATTTTTCTTGTATACCTTTTCAGTTTGATCTAGAAGCTCCTTTAAATTTTGATTTTCAAATATAGAACTTTCATCAAGTGCATTTTAAGCAATTTGTTTTTCTAGTCACCATTGCCAAGTGCCTAATGCTCATTTACCCATTACCCTTGACAACTGACGACTCTGCACATTTCTGTATCCCTGAAATATTCAATCATTGACACTGGGATTCTCAGCTGTTTTTCTTTTCTCTTTTTCTACTGCTCTAGAAATGGGAATATACAAAAATTATCTAACTTTTAGTAGAAAGCAACTCCCAAATTGGGTTCCAGGTGTGGGAATATACAAAAATTATTGACTTTTAGTAGAAAGCAACTCCCAAATTGGGTTCCAGGTGAAAATGGGTCCCTTACTGGGTCAGAAATATTATGGAAGCCATTACAATTTTTGGCTGGAAAACCCATAATTCTAAGATGAACCAATTTATGCTAATAAATTCTGTGGTATCTATCACCTTCTTTTAGTTTAGTCATCCTTTTTCTCCCATTTCTGCTTACAACCATCCCTGACAACTACCTAAATTTCACTGTTAAACTGTTTATATAATATTGGCACTTGTAAAGTTTTTTTGTGTCACCTTAGAACATCTGGCTAAAAGGTATTGTTTCACTTTACAAGTAAATATATTATAGAACAAATCCAAAGAACTTATGTGGGTAATTGGTAACAAGAGCACTGTTACCAGCAGTGAAAAGTTATTTTAGGGTAAAAATTTCACCAGAAATTGTTTTTGGGAATAAATTAGTATTTACCAGTGCTTGTAAAGGAAAGCAAAAATTGCCACATACACACAAAATCTTATTGAAAGCACCTCAATTTTTAAAGCATCAATTGAATTTTTGTTTTTGTTTGTTAAATACATGATCATCTTTCAATGTGTCTTAATCTATGTTTGAAACAGCTGGAGACCCAGTGGTTGGCTACTTTAACCAGGTAGTATCAGTGGACAATGGGCAGTGCAGTTTGAGGGGAAATGTTGTAGGATCTTGCTGATAAGGGTGTGAGGTGGGGAGAAGGTCTTACAATAGATACTAGGAGAGTGACAGAAGTATGTTCATATGTTTGTATTTCTTGATATATGTAACATGGTATAGAATGTAGACAGAAATTTAATAACTATCTTTACAAAACACTGACAAGTATTTCTTCTAGTTTACAATAAATGTGCATAGGAGTCCAGACAATTTCCATACTTCTTTCCTGAATGTTTAGAATAGTGGTATGCCTGGAGCAGATAAAAAATACACACTGATGAAATTGTAAGACTGAGCCACCTTATTATTATAGAACTATTCCATGGGCTTCTCTGCTGGTTTGCCTGACATTAAGTCTATGGACACCTGTTTCTATGTCAGAAAATCTGCAGAAGGCCAGAAACTCTCTGGAGAAAATCACCAGATATTAATTTGATGCGTTTCAAAACTCAACTTTGACTTTATGAAATAATTCCTCAATTAAGAAAAAAGTTTATTTTTTTACTCAAAAAATAGAGCAAATGTCACTTGTTCAGAGTCCATTGGATCAATAACATTTCACAATTTGTACCTACACCTGGGAAAAGAAGCTTAGTACATCACTCTAAAAACGATAGAGCACCAAATCTCCACATTTGCGTTTCTATAACACCCAGATGGGGTTTAAATGAAAACTCCTAACTTATCCTGGCTCGCAAAACAATTTTTCCTGGTCGGAGTTCTGGCCACTGGGCCTGTCATTAGAGTCACTAGGTGTAATAGCCACTCCACAGAGGTCAGAAGATTCTGGCAGGTGGCAGGTGCATTGGACATATTTCAAACTAATGAACACAGGAGTTTCCAGTGATTTTATTCTCTTGTTTTAAAAGAATAAGAGCTGTTTTTCTTATACACAGCCCAACCCCGGCTCTCTTCCGCGAGACCACCTGTCTGCTCATCTTCCACAGGGCGACGTGACCAGGGTTCTAGCAGACCAAGGCGTCCAGCCGTGCCTCCCCTTGCCGAGTTCCCCGCTTGGGACACCAGCCGTCTCCCGGAATCTGTTCATCCCGCAGCCATCTGACAAGCTAACTGGTCCTCCAGGCAGTCGAGGCTGGCGCTTGGCTGGGGAGGCCGTCAATGCCCCCGGCGGCTGCCTTTCCAGCAACGCCTGGAGTAGCTGCACAGGCGCCGGGAGGAGATGCCGGACGGGGGGCGGGGCGAACGCTGTGACGCGAGGCGGCCTCGGCCAATGGAAACGTCCGGCGGCGCCGGCCGAGGAGCCAGCCCATAAAAAGGCGGTGCTGCCGCGCTCTCTACCCTCCAGCTGTTTGTGGATCTGAAGGTGTCTGTGTTGGGTCACTTCCCTTCCTCAGGTGACTCTGGTCACAGCTTGTTGCCCTCGGCCGCCAGCGAAGTTTGGTTGCAGCTCCTGAAGTGCTTCACGGTCCCTTCCGAGCAGCAGTGGGTCCATGGAGAAGGGCCCGGTGCCGGCCAATTCGCGGGACGCCAGGTGTAGCAATGGGGTCCTCGAGGGCAAGCCGCAGCGGCCAGAGCGGAGCCGATCGGCCGAAAAGCCGCCGCGGCGGGAGACCCAGAGTCCTTTGCCCGGGGAAGGCTGGTCGGGCGAGCGGCCCCGCAGAGAGGTGGTTAATGAGTTTAACTTCCCTGACTTGGTGACCGCCTACTCGTCCATCCTGAGGTCGCTGGGCGAGGACCCCCAGCGGCAAGGGCTGCTCAAGACGCCCTGGAGGGCGGCCTCGGCCATGCAGTTCTTCACCAAGGGCTACCAGGAGACCATCTCAGGTCAGTGCGCCCGCGACTCGAGTCCGCGCGGGCTGTTCCAGAGCGCGGGGCGCGGGGGAGGTACTGTGGGAAGTTTCCGGAGTTGCCTCACTCTTCGCGGAAAGCCGGGTGCTGTCACCTTCCAAACCACGCCTTGGTCCAAGACCAGGGCCCTGCGTGGGCCGTATTTCTGGCGCTCAGAGAGACCACGGCCTCTCCGTCGGGGGTACCCACAGCAGCCGATCGCGGGGTCCTCCTAGCTCCCTGATTCGTTTTGGTGGGAACGCGGTCATTGTGCTCCCTACTGCCCATCTTCCCAGCTACTGCCTGCCGGTTGCCGTTCTCGCCTGAGCGCCCCTGGCCAGATGCTTGAGGCACGTGCGGGACCCAAACTTACACTTGATAAGGATCTCCTAGCGTTAGTGGAGGTGATGACTTTTTAGTCTCTTTTGAGATCTCACATTTTGGTCAGTCTTGGGTGAAGCTTTTGCTTCCTGCGCCGTGAGTGCCAGGGGGTGATCCTTCACAGCCAACTCTGAGACCAGCGCTCTCACTGACTTGCCAGGGCCCCCGGGCTTCAGAGAGTTGTAATTCCTTTTGTCCATCTCAAGTTCACTACATCTTCCTGACTTTGGCACTATTCTTGGCACGGTCTTTCCCGGAGTTTGGGGGGCATTGTGGTTTCGTGCTAGTCTGCTGCTTAAAGTCTTCTCTACCCTTCTTTTTCCCAACACTCCAAAGTAATGTAAGACTCATACCCGGAAAGTCCCTCTGAAACTCAGAATCATACCCCTCGACTCGCCCCCACCTCTGCACATCCACCACCTATTGGCCCAGAGCGGTCGGTCGGACGGTCGGTCTGGGCGGTCGATCTGGGCGGGTCAGACTTTCTCACTCAAGGGGCGGGGAAGCTGTCTCTGTTGAGGGAAGAGAAAGGGAACTGGGAAATGGAAAATAAGACTGCTGTCTATTTGCTGGGTGAGTGCTGTTGGTCCTTAAAACAGAGAGAGGAAGAAAAGCTCTGACCTGTACATCTGGGACTGAGACTTGTGCCCAGTTCACATCTTTCTTGCTTCTTAGTGACATTTCTTTGGCCTAAAAAGCCTGCTTTCCCCATTTCTCAAAGAATTACTGTGCTTCCTAGCAAGGTAACCTCCCAACCTCTGTTATTTCCTTGATCTGGTATCTGACAACTCCCTGAATAGATCCAGGGAAGAATGACATTATTTTTACCCAGTTTTATACACTAAAAAGGAAGGGTGGGAAATCAGACAGTGAGAAGGGTGGAGCCCAAAAAGGAAATAATACTATATCCTGAAGCCTAGAAGTGAAACTCTAGATCTGTGTCCAAGTGTGCTTTTTTTTTTTTTTAAACCTCTTAATGGCAGAAGGTTGGAGCTTTATAGTAGAGTTTCCAAATGCCATGAATAAAGAATAAACATTCTTTAGTTCATGATGTAGTAAAGAAACATCTTGGAATCTAGCTCATTTTGCCACCTGTAGACACACAAAATGTACTCTGCCAGAGTACGCTTCAGTCTTTGGGAATCTTACCCTAACAAAAGTCACAGGAGGCAGGGATTTAAAAAAAAAAAAAGATTTATTTATTTCTGCATACAGAATGAGGGTACAGGCCAGAGGTGCAGAGGCGGTGAGAGGATTCACCAGAGATAGAGTGGGGAGCAGAATAGGTTGACTGATGAAGTACACTGCTGAGCAGCGGGCTGGTCAGGAGAGGTCTGCCTTGCCATGTGGGTAACCTCAGGGCAGGGATGGAACTCATGCTGAAGTGGCTTTAGCTTATTAGTGCTGTACTTTAACTTGCTGAGCCACCAGGGAGTGCAGGCAGGGATTTTTGACCCCAATTCAGGTCACAGAATTATCTCAAATGATTAGCAATGTTCACTTAGGCAATGATCTGTAGAAGTTTGCCTCATGTGCCTTAGGATTAATGACTCAAACACACACACACACACACACACACATTTTATTCTACCTTAGAAAGCTGTTCTAGTTAACTATTAATTTTTTATTAATTAAAAAGTCCATGTATTGGACCCTCCCTGGTACAGTGGGTTAAAGCACAGCACAGTGAAGTTATTAAAGCCACTGTAGCACAGAGTTCCACCCACCTGGCATAGCAGACCTCTCCTGGCCTGCCCGATGCTCCCCTCAGCAGTGTATTTTAGACAATCTGCCTGTTCTGCTCCCCACTCTGATTCTGGTGAATCCTTTCACCTCTGTACCTCTGGCCTATACCCCAGTTCTGTATGTATAAGTAAATAAATCTTTACAAAAGTCCATGTATTTAGAGACCAAAAGCAGAGTCTGGGGAGGTGGGTGAAACGGGGAGTTACTATTTAATGGGGATTTCTTTTTGGGGCGTCATAGAAATTTTGTTGAGACAGTGATGATGGTTCTACAACATTATGAATATATTAAATGCCAGTGAATTGTATACTTTAAAGTGACTAAAGAGAAGAATTTGATGTATGTATATTATACTAACATTTTTCAAAAGTCCTTGGGTAATTTAAGACACTTTTCCCCATTTTAAAAAATTGAAGTAATATTGCATTATATGTTTCAGGTGGGCATATGAAAGTGTATATACAACATAAGTCCACTAATAAAAAAATCCATTCTACCCTTTACCATACAAATGTCCCCTTATACACAATTTAACCTTTCCTTTCCCCATTCCCTTCTGGTAACCACTAATTTGTCTTTTAGTCTAAAAATTTATTTTTGTTTAGGTCATCTATATATTTTTTCTATATATCACATGTAAGTGAAATCATTTGGTTTGTCTTCCTCCAGACTTATTTCACTAAGGATAATATCCTCTAGGTTCAGCCATGTTGTTGCAAATGTTAGAATTTCATCTTTTTTTAAAGATTTATTTACTTATTCATACAGAACTTGGGTACAGGCCAGAGGTGTAGGGGCAGTGAGAGGATTCCCCAGAGACAGAGTGGGGAGCAGAACAGGCTGACTGACCTAAGTACACTGCTGAGGGGAGCAGCAGGCAGGTCAGGAGAGGTCTGCTGCGCCATGTGGGTCACCTCCAGGTGGGGGATCGAACTAGCACTCAGTTGGCTGCGGCCACCTTGTGATGCTGCATCCTAACCCGTTGCACCACCAGGGAGGGCCTAGAATTTCACCTTTTTATTTTTTTTTAAATAGCTGAATGGTGTTCTGATGTGTATATACCACATCTTCTTTATCCATCCCTAGAAGTTTTTGTTTGTTTTTTACTGAAAGTTTTGGGATTTACTATGCTTAAGAATTATTTATAGCCATTCATTGAGTACTTTTTATGTTCTATCTACTTTATGTGGATGGCCTTTGTCAGTCCTCACTTTTGAGGAAAATACTGTTGTTATCTCTATGACATGGAAACGAAAGGCATAGAGGTTGACAGTCTACAAATGATAGAGTTAGCGTTTGAATTTAGGTAGTCTGGATTTAGAATACCTTACGTGCTACTTAGAGAGATCAATCATTTTAACTTATCTGCTAAATGTTTGAAACTGTGAAGTTGTGATCTAATAGTTGGGTTACCAGCATAAAAAAATAAGTAGAGGGCCCTCCCTGGTGGCGCAGCGGGTTAAAGCACAGCACTGAGAATCCAAAGCCGCTTCCACATGAGTTCGATTCCCGCCTGCCCCGGAGGTGACCACATGGCGTGGCAGACCTCTCCTGACCCGCCCGCTGCTCCCCTCAGCAGTGTACTTCATCTGCCTGTTCTGCTCCCCACTCTGTCTCTGGTGAATCCTCTCACTGCCCCTGCACCTCTGGCCTGTACCCCAGTTCTCTATGCATAAATAAATAAATCTTTAAAAAAAAATAAATAAGTAGAATAGAATGGAGGAGATCCATCTATCATTTGTAATAAGGGTATTGTTTAGAAACTTGTAAAACCATGAGCTATAGGACTAAAGATTCAGAAGAATGATTCATTCTATAGCAGAAAAGTGTTAATTCTATTACTGTTTATAAAAATGATAAAGGTTTTATGAGCTTCAGTATGCGTTTTGTTGTCTACTGATTCCAGATGTAAAATGTAAAATGTAATTCCTACTGTGAGTTGTGGTCAAAAGTTTGAAAACCTCTACCTAGAATAAAACTTGATCTTTTTTTCTTTTTAAAAAAGATTTATTTATTTATGCATAGAGGAACTGGGTGTAGGCCAGAGGTTTGAGTGGGGGTGGGTGAGAGGATTCACCAGAGACAAAGTGGAAAGCAGAACCAGTAGATTGAGTGATGGACACTGCTGAGGAGAGAAGCAGGCCTGACTGGAGAGGTCTGCTGGACCACGTGGGTCAGCTCTCTGGCCTGCTGGGCATTTAACTCCTGCTGCTGTGGCTGGGGATAGGTTGGTAGTGCTGAGTCTTTAACCCTTGCATCACCAGGGAGATCGGATATTTATTTCTTAAGGACAAAACAGAATGGAGAGGATGACGACTGTTGAACATGATGAACCTGAAGTATTGGTGGTCCAGCACCTGGGCCAGTGTGCATGAACAGAGAAGGAAGGGTACTTTAAGTCTCTAAAAACTAGAAGTAAGGGTAATGTAGAAAACAGTCCTTCACAATCCCTAATTCTTATTTCTTTAGAGAGCACTTATAGTAGTCATGGATTCCCTATGGATAGTTTTTGGATAGAAATAAATTTCTTTAAAACTTTGCCTTTTTCTGTCTTGTCAATAAGATACTTTATACCTTACATCTCTGTATATTCATTTCTGGCTAACAGTATCGACTTAAAGGTTATAAAATATAAAATAAGTTGGTACTTTACGTTTTCCAATTTTTTTTTCCGATTAATACAAACATCTGACTTCCTGGGAATCTGTTGGTTCTCTTGTACAGAAGTTTCTTTTCATGACCTTTGCCTGGTGAACCTTTCCTCTGATTTCATGTGTACTTTGCCATGGGAGCATCTGTGGTTATTGTAAAGGGGGCCGTGTCAAGGTTGTGCAAGTCTTTTGGTTACTCTTCACTCACTGTGTCTTGTG